TTTCTTTATGGTGTTGTTATGCCTGAGGTTTATTAGAAATTCTAAATAAGCTACTCATAGCAACCCTACCAATGATATTTTTCAGTAGAGTCGAGTTCTTTATTAGACAAGGGGAGCTTGAGGTTGAGGGACACAACTAATTTACAATTAAAGTGAAAATTAATTGGAATAAAAAAAGTGCATGTTTCTTATTTAAAAAATTGGATGCTTCTTATGTATAAATATGCATAATTATTTAAAATGAGAAAAGAAGATCATGACTATATAAGCTAATAGATATGTGATGTGCAATGCATTTAGTTTAGATTACACATCCTATAATTATTAATGAAGAATAAAAAATAAATCTTTTAATATAAAAATAATTTTTTAATTAATAATTATAAAATATATAATTTATTACTATCACGTAAATAATTTACAAAATCTTTTTTAAACAATGAAGGGAGAATGGGGATTCAACTCACCGACGTGCTTATCCAACGGAGCCAATAGCCCAGGTGCTAATTTACAAAATCTTGAGATACTAAAGAGAAAGAGAATAATAACATGAGGTCTTGGTTTGACAAGGGACTCTTCCAGTTTAATTAAAAATTTTGATTTTAAATTTTGATAATATAATTTTGTTAAAACTTGTAAGGAAAAGCTTTGTTGTCAGTTAGATTCTATCCGGCTCAAATCCGAATTAATTAGTGACCTAATAAACTTTCAAATACTGAGTGATCTGAACAAAAAATAAATAAATAAATAATAACGTGTCCCATTTTATGGCAAGCCAGACTCTAGTAAGAGGCAAAGGGAGGAGAGTGCCAGGGGGCAGCTGGTCCCCTCAACTTTTAAAAAATTACAATTTTAGTACATATATTGTTTCTTACTTTTTAAAATTTTTAAATATTATATTTTTCATGTAAAACTTTAAATTATTCTCATTTAACTCTTTATAATTCTTATCATTTTTCATATTTAACAACTTAAGATTAATACGTGCCGTTGAAAACGCTCTGACCTCTCTCTTCTTAATGTCCGCTTCACTCAACCCTCGTCCTTCAACTCAGGAGGGAGACCTTCTGAGTAGATCAATCAAACGAATCAAAGGCGGGGATTATCCAGCAATTGATGAGGATTATCAAATGATCGAAAATTCTACCCAGCCTTTGTCGTACAAAGATCTGGTTCTACGCAACGATTCGATCGAAATCTGTTGCGACGCAGCAACCAATCTGGATATTCTGGAAGAGGATTCGGATTGTGAGGATGATGGCTCAATTCCCACAATCCTTATTTCAAGAGAGGAGAAGAAAAGAATACGCTCGCCATGGCTTAATTCCATTATCATCAAGGCGTTCGGAACGAAATCAGCGGGTTACAACTTCATATACCCAAGAATCAAAGCTCAATGGAAACCGAGAGGAAGGATGGATTGTGTTGATCTTGGTGTGGATTTTTTCCTCATAAGATTTCAAGAAAGAGAGGACTTGCTAAGAGTTCTGAATGGGGGTCCATGGTTTGTGGGTTCGTACTACTTAACTATTCGACAATGGGAACCGGCTTTTGATCCAGAGAAAGCGGCGTTCACTACCACAGCTATCTGGGCAAGACTACCCAGGCTGCCAATTGAGTATTATGACGTGAAAATTCTTGAAAGAATTGGGAAATTATTGGGGAAGCCTCTGCGATTGGATGCTCATACAGCACATCAGACAAGAGGACAGTTTGTTAGGATTTGCGTTCAAGTAGATCTTGTTGAGCCGCTTGTCCCCTTTGTTATGATTGGTAAACATATCCAGAAAGTGTTATATGAGGGTCCAGTAGCTCTTTGTTTCTCCTGTGGATGTGTTGGCCACAAAGAGAACTCCTGCCCACTTAAACTGTCGCAAGCCCCTGCTGTTATGGAGGAGGACTCCCCCAATTGTACCAAACCTGTCAACGAGGATGCTAAAGATGATACTGTGATAGAAGAGTGTCAGGGATTTGGTCCATGGATGCTTGTTGATAGGAGGAAAAATAGGAGGAAGCTTAATGGAAAGGCACCTGGTTCTGGGAATCAACAGAGCAATCTAAACTCCTCACATGGAGGGAAACTGAGTAGCCAACTCACTGAGTCGCGAAGTGGGTCGAAGCGGAGGGACGAGATGGTCAACACGTTGGGGAACAACCCAATTAATGATCCTACCGTTGGCACTAACGGAAGCATCAATACTAACGGACCTCTGAACCATTCCCAAAATCAAGGACCCAATCTTAGTGCTAACCAAATTAGTTCAAATGTTACTACCTCGTCCCATACTAACTCTATTTCTTTCATGGTGCAGGATCCTCATGGATTGCCTCGGGATAATGCAAAAGGGAAAGATATCTCTATTACTTGCTCCAAGGGAACACGCAAAGAGGATAAATCTAAAAAAATCTCTGCTGGTGGTCATCCAAAAGATGTCAATAACCTACAATCTTCGTCGCCCTCCACCATTGGAAGTTTGGGCAATGGATCCAAGGACCTTCGGGAAGCTGTGCCGACTGTGGGACATTTATTTAGTCAACGAAGAGAACAACATTTTGCCAATGGAGAAAGCATTGTCACTGCTTCTGCAAAAGGAATCAACACTGGTGGAAGGTTGGGATCGAGACACAGTAGCCAGGAACTGGACCCGTCCGGTTGTGGTTCAAGAAGGAGTCGATCCCATCCCGTATCTTCCACCCCCAACCGAATGGATTCCACTTCCCCCTCCATTGGAAGCCCCAGACATGTGTCTCACCTCGAAAGCGACATGGAGCTTGACAGGGGAGAAACTAGGGTGGGAGTTTTGGGAGGAACAACTCTCACCTCAGATAGTGTGGGTTCCGGAGAGCAGCTGGTTTCTCAACAAAATGTCGCTACTGGGAAGCATGAAGATCGTCCACTTGATTATTCAACGGGAGGAAGTTCCATGTGCCATGAGAGCTCGCTTCATTCAGAAGACTATTCCGTTCTACTTCCCAGAAG